ATATGAACTCAAAAGCATAATTTTGGGAAAAATGCGTAGTCATTCAAAGGTATCTCTGTTACTCTGGCATGAATAAATCTGCAGTAGAAAAATATCTATTAGATCCCGATGAAATATCGCTTGCACGATGCTTTCATGATGGTGTTGAGTATCTGCCGTGGTTTATTTGGGCGCAGACTCAGTTTAATTTTCACATTTTAGCCCAAAATTCACTGCTAGGGCCCCGGGCAGAGAAAGGCAGACAAACTGCGCTGCAACCGAATAAACCATTTACAAATACGAGTAGCATTCGAGCAAATATAGGCGATTGGCATTCCATTTGAATGAGCTGCATGGAGCGTCGGTCTTAAGCTTAAGGCAATTGTTTGAGTGCATTGTGCTGCCGTTGATGGATAGGATTCAAATAGCCAGAGGCGTGGGATCACGTAATGCACTTCCCCAGCAGCCACTGGGCCACAAAAACGAGGCAGCAAATAAGGCAGTGGCCAAAGTCAGCCACTAATTGCAACATTAAAGCTCCTTTTGGTTGCCACTGTGTGTGATAGGAGCAGCGGCAGCAGCCCCGAAGCAACATCCAAAGGATCAAAGTCTCTGCTGAAAGACTGAGGGCATACTTACCTGGGTCTCTCTCTCCTGCATCTGCTCACCATTCTATCCCTCCATACCTGCCGCCATGTAGTTGTGGTTACATGGACTGGGGCGACTTTAAGCGGGAGCTTTTCTGTGGCATGGCCAGAAAAGGAAAAGGAAGAGCTACGAGGAGATGACTCGCCTGTTTTAGATATGGGATTAACAGTCCGCAGAACTGTCAATCTGGTGGTTGCCAGAGTTTGAACGTAGCATCCCCACATGGCAGGCGCAGATGATTTTTGCGTATCGCATGCGTAGCATTGGAGCAACGCCAAGGCCAAAGGTATTGCCAACGGCAACGCCTGTGATGACTTTTAATTGAAAAGCAGAACCGGGGAAATGTTGTTAACTGCTCGCCACCGCAACATGCAACAAAATGATACATGGCCAAAGCTAGCAACAAGCCAATTTGTGGCGGGCGATAACTTTAAAATTGGCAAAGTTTTGCGATTAATTAAAATCGCTTCATGCCATTGATGAAACAATAACGAAAAAACTAATATTTGACAATTGCCAATAATCGCCAGACAGCAGCATGTATCCGATGCGGCAAATTGCCTGTGGCAGAGGGTGCATGCAACAGCAACAGCAACAGAAACAGCGACAGCAGTAGCAGCTGCAACAACAGAATGGAATCAGCAACAGAATCGGCAACCAGAGGAGAGAGCAACAATTAAAACAAATCGAGAAGATAAAAGTGCTGTTTGTACGATGTTGCTGCTGCTGTTCGATGCTTTTTGTTGCCGCTGCAGACGAAAAATCTAGAGTCCATGAACCGACAATGGGATACCCTAAGACCTGCCTTTATTTCGCTTCTCCAATAAGCATTCATTCAAGTAGGGAAAACTGACGTTTTTCAATAACTTGTACATAAAAGGCAATAGCTAATGAGAAATGGGTGATAGTTGGTGGGCAATATCTATAGCGTTAAATAACAATAGAGCTCAACTTTGGTGCCTAATAGCTCCTCGAGGCCCCCGTTATCTCCGAAGATAAGCCCAGATCTAGTATATTACCATCACACCCACGGATTCAACGATTAAAGGGTATCAAAACTTCCAACCACATATACACACCACTACAGGCATGCAAATCGGTGCACCCGTCCCTTGCTCTCTATCTCTCTATCCATGCGATCCATGTGGTTGTTTGTGCCCATTTTTGTACCCTTGCAAGGACAAACTTTTATTTCGAACAATTGCCGCCGTGCAGACAAATTGAATTGAAAACTGGGAATGTAACAAATTATGCAATATATATGAGTCATAAGCACACACTCCCATTCACATAAGGGGTGCGACATGTCTGTGCACATGCACTCTCGACAGGTGCCCAGTCGAACGCCGAACGAGGTCTGCTGTTTGATTGCAAAAATATAATTAAATGGCAACATAGGGGTTACGCAGGGGTTAGTGCAGAGGATGAACAAAAATCCCACTCAAAAAAGAGCTATTAAATATAAACGAAAAACGAGGGGGAACGTTGTGAGTTTCTGCTGCGACCGCAACTCTACATTTATACCCGATACATAGAGAAAGACAGAGCGAAAAAGAATGAAATTGTTTTCATCATCCTGGTTATAATATTAATACGATTCTACATTTTTTTTCGTATCTTCTCGTATCTTTGAAATTGTGGATGCCGCAGATTTTCGCCCTTTGTAGGGAGCGGAAGTGGGCGGGACGAAGTTTTTAAATATACTTATAACAGTGACATATCACAGAAGTCTGGATATAAAATGTCGTTGCTCTAGCTCTAAGTCTCTCTTAGTCTCAGACCGACATGGCTCAATCGACTGGGCTATTGATGCTGATCAAGAATATATCTACTTCCACATCCACTTTCACCACAAACCTAATATACCCCTATAGTCATTTTGAGTATTGTAACAATGATTTGCATGCATAAACCCGAAAGGGTGTAAACTATTGGCAAACATTGCTCCATAAATTATGAAATTAAATTTTCAATTGCCCCACTTTTATTATTGTTTCCGCTGTATTTTTAAGTTTAGGAAAAATATATACATAAATGACCAATGATAGACCGAAAAGAAGAATGACCTGAACGAAAAATTCAGGCAAAAGTTTTGAAAGACAGAAACGACTATACTGATGCATTAAGGCCTGTTAAGGAAATATCCATGATGGTCAATATATTCGAAGCGATTTCAAAATACCTATATATGTACTTCAAAGGTAAACTTCCATGTTAAGGGATGGACCCCTGATATTGTAAATATCTGAAATGAGATCTATGTACGTCAACGTACGGAAGCTTAAAGCAGATACCCATTAAAGGAGAATCCCTGCTAGGTCTATCTTAAGAGAAAATTAAGTTAAATCTAAATGAAAGTCGCATCAAGGCAGAGCCGCTTTAAGGAAAATCCAAGGGAGTACTTCCATAGTCAGTTTGTATCGATCCAGATAAGCGTATCTGCAAAAGCGATGCAAAATTTCACTAGAAAACAAACCGAAAATTCAATTTAGCTGACATTTTACTTTAAATAGCTAATATGTATTTAGTGGGCGAGCCACCTCCGTCAAGCCTTAAGCTGACACCGAAAGAAATTTACTTTTCCCTTAGCCTTAGCTTGACCCCGGGAAAGCAGCTTATTGACAGCAACTTTAAATCACAGAGTAGGCCGCCCCGACTAAGACAAAGCCACCTGTAAGCCCCGAAACAGATAACACACCGCCTACCGGCCTACCGACCAGGAAAGACGGCAAAACCAAGCCACAAAAAAGAAAGAAAATAATTCAATTCCATAAACACTTGTTCACACAGTTCACGCAGATCACGTGGTCGCCTCGGTAAGCCCGGCCCAGAGACTTGGCTGAAACTTCATCAACACAAATTGTGAATTCCATACAAATAGTTTGACAAACTAACTTGGCTTTTCCCGAAACAGAAACTTGGCAACAGAGCCGGGATGATGGAGGGGAGAGGCTCATAGAGGGGGCGGCCCAAATGAAAGAAGTTTTGCGGTAGGCCAGGTCGGGTCGGATCGGGTCGGGTCGAGGTCGGTTCTGGAGCGTAAGAGAGCATAAAAGAAATCTTATAAATCCAAAGCGGCAACAACACTTGCATACATCCCAGATACATACTATGTATATGTATAGCCATATAAGCATACATTTTGTGTGCAAAAACTAGATTGAGACAAAAGAACTTGTGGAGCTACAGAAATGGAAATGGAGGATGGGTGGCGGATGGTGGAGCAGCAGCAGGGGCAGGAACAGGAACTTATATGAGTATTGCCACTCGCACAGTTTTCATATCTTAGTTTTGAGCATTTCCGGCGCCAACTATTTGGTCACGTAGTGTGTGCCTCTAATGAATGCGGGGCAACTATACATACGAGTACGAGTATAAGCATGTATGTACATATGAATGTACAAGTAGGATGCGCGTGCCGCATATTATCGCTAAAGGTCGCACGGCGAACTCGAACTATTTGGCTTGGGGCACTCTTTCGGCCAGACTAGGCCACATATAATCAAAGCCATCGCCCATCCTCATCCACAACAGCACCCACAGACACAGACATGTCTAAAGTCTTGCCGAAAACTTTCACCTTCTCCCATAAAGGCAGAAGAAATCAAAGAAAGTATAGAAGGAGGACAGATCTGGGACCCCACTCAAAAACTTTTCAGCTTGTTTGGGCTCGGTTTTGGTTTTGAAATTACTCTCAACGCGCATTGATTGTCAACGTCCAGAAGGGAATTAAACTTTCTCGTCTCCCGTTTACTCAGTGGCTCGGCGGCTGTTTAAGTTTCGGCACGCAGCCGAATCAAAATCCTGCAGAGTTCTTAACCGTATTAGTGGTCGATTTTGGTCGGCCACACTGAGCTAAACATTTGATAAGCGGGAGAGGTCTGTTCGTTGAGTAAATAGAGCATAACATGTTGGAGTATCTGCGGATCGATTAGCACGGATTGTTACGTAACCCCCTCACAATTACGAAATGCTTTTTACTTAATGCACTTATAATTGAAAAATTTCCAGAAATACTTACATACGTAATAATAATAAATCCCATTCGTAGAAACACTTATCCGCACAATTCAAATATCAATCCCTGCTATTGTTGCATAAGCCCCATTCGATTCCATTCAAATGGCCACACAACACACACATACATATGTATGTACATATGTATGTATGTACATATTTATATACCACATCTGCATGGTGTAAAAGGCTCGTGTATTATGAATCCGTCCCCACCGGACGCAACTGTTGACACTTTTCAGTTTATTGGCTGAGCCAACAATTTCTTTAACATTTCCATTTGTTTTTTCCATTTCCCTCTCTCGTATCACTCGTATCACTCTTATCTCTTTTGTTTTTTGCTTCCACACTTACAGCTGCTCCTGGCCGCCATGCTGGCTGTGCGCTGCTTTGGCAGCGGGTCTTCCAGGCGTACGCTTGCATTGGCCTGTGAGGAGGTGGATGCCACGGACGGGGACGCATTAGAAGCTGCAGTCGCGCTCGAAAACAATAGATATAGCAGTAATAACAACAACTACAACTACGCGTTTGGCGACGTTGGTGGCATTGCGGATAGCAACGACAACGAGCTGAACAATGACAACTATAACTACAACAAAGCAGTGGCCAAATGGCAGCAGCACCAGGGGCTCCTACAGCAACAGAAGCTCTACGGAAATCCCATTTACAGCATATACGACTTCAGTCGAAGCCAGCCGCAGCAACGGCAACAACTACGGCGTGAGTTTGATGATGATCCAGTGAATGCTGGCAATGACTTCCGTCTGCAATTGTCCGACTTAAATGCGGCCGTTCAAGGTGTGGGCAGGTTTGTTGTCGAGCACCACAACAGCCCGGACCAGGACAACGACAAAGACAACGACAACAGCAGCAGCAGCAGCAGCGAAAACAATGCTGACAGCAACAGCCAGCCGCAACAACGGGAATTGTTGCTGGAGCGCCGGAGTCGCATCAGTCGAAGGTAAGAGCCAGTGGAAGCACAGAAATCGCAAGCGAGAATTAGCACGAGTGCTGCCAATCTATGCGAATGAATGGATGTGGGATAGTCGGGATGGGTGTGTCGGGTATAGTCAATTTGTATTATCCGTGTATGAGAGAGTCAAAGTGAGTATGGAATGAGTGGAATGGTCAAAGTGTGTGTGAGTGAGTGAGATGGAATGGAATGGAACACTGTGTATGTGCACATATGTACATATGTACATTTGCATGTGACTGCAGTGTCACCGAATATCATTGGAGATGAATGACGCATTGACAAATCTGTTCCTGTTCCTGCTAAATGGCAATGCAATGCCGTTATGCATGACGTAAGCGCTTAAGCTGATTCGTTGCTTTTCAGATTGCTCTCCCTCCCTTTGGCTTTTCCTTTTTGCTTTGTTCTTTTTTTTTGTGTTCTTTGTTTGGACTAGCGCGATCAGGCTTAGGCGGATCATGTGATGTCTGTGCCATAGATTACGCAATCGCCCGGATGCATGCAAGTTAACGTACCCAATTCCATTGAGCTCTTATACGAGTTGTAAACAATCTTTGGCTTTCCAAAACGAAAACAATTTCAATCTTGGGCCTCCGCCTAATTGATTTCTAAGATGTACAATCTCAAGCGCCCCCGCCGCAATCCCAATCTTTGACACTCGCCTAAATGGAAAACCAATGTTTGCCCACACCCGGCTTCTCATAAACAATCTCACTCCCGGCTTTCTGCAGATCCTGCACTTTAGGCCTTTTACAGTTCTCTCTTTGGATGACGAAATCTAATACTCGGGATGGCGAAATCAATTGAAATGTTTATAGAAAAACGATTCCCGAAAGGGATCAACGATGCAAAGATCAGAAAGTTCAAATCAGTCTTGATCCAGCAGCGACACCGCAAAGTCTAGCTAAATATTAAGATCGCGCAATCCCTTGGCCCGGAATTCCTTTGTGACCCTCTACTTAAATCTATATCAGTGAAGTTCGAAGTAAAATAAAAACTTTTTAAAAACACAATCCGCTACCGCTATTGTTTAATTGGCGCCCAACGTGGGGCGACGTTGTCTAAAAAGCACCGAATGATAAAAGTGTTGCGTCGTGCCGAAACCCGAAGGACAATTAATTAATGGAATAAATCCTTCAAAATTAAAAACGCGGAGTGACTGTGTGATATAGATAAAAAAAAGTGAGATAAAAAGGAAACAAACCGGAGCTTAGGGTGTGCAAAAACAAATACAAATACAAATACAAATACAAATACAAATACCAATACAAATACAAATACAACGCAAAATACAAATAAAACAAAAAGCTAATCAAGGCAATTCGTAAATACAAAAAAAACCAAAGAAATCCAAAGTTTTTAAAAAACAAAACCAACAAAACCGACAAAACCAAAATACAAAGAAAGTGAAACGATCAGCGAAGCCAAAGAAGGAAGACCCCCAGAAGACCCAGCTGAGCAAAGAAATTTAAGAAGGAAGACCCGTTCGAAGATCTGCCAAACTAAGAAGGACGACCCCTACCGGATATTTCAAAATGTATGCGAATATACTAATACTGACTTTTGTTATATTGACGACTGCGGAAGTAATTGACTATACGCATAGTGACTATCTATTGCTCAAAGACGACAGAGACGTTTACACTTATGAAACATACGCTGAACTTTTCCATATTACTAATTTGAGTTTTTATAGAGAGATAATTGATAAAGAATCCAAATATGTCAACAAATCAATTAATTCAGACGATGAGTGGGAAATATCAATGGACTTAAGTCTATTAAAATTAATGATTTCAGAATTAGTTCCAAAACGGAAAGAAAGGGGAATAAATGAATTAGGTACCATTTGGAAATGGATAGCAGGCAGCCCTGATCATGACGACTTTTTGAAAATACAAAATAAAGTAAATGAATTAACTGAAAATAATAATAAACAATTTGTAATAAATTCCAAATTTTTCAAAGAAATTGAATTGCTATCAAATTCATTAAAGAATGTCATCTTCAATGAAGAAACGATACTGAGAAAGCATCGTTTAAAATTAATAACTTTTGACCTACTAAATTTAGTTGATACCATAACCCTCTTAAAAGTAAACATTTTCAATACAAAAATTTTAAATAAAAACGAAATAGAGGACATTTATAAGCATGAAAAACATAATGTTGAACTGTCTGATCTGTTGGACATTGCAACGGTTAAAATAATTCGAAATGCAGATTTAATAATCATTTACATAAAATATCCTCAAATTAAAGATATTTGCAAGTTTTACCATGCAAGAGCCATCTCACAAAATGATGGAATGTTAGTTATAAGTGAAAAAGTTTGTGAATGTAAGGAGAAATACTATTTAATGAATAATTTTAAAAGTGAAACTTTTAACAATTACGCACAAATAAATTTAAAGAGTACCTGTTTCACCAATTTACTTAATGGCTTTAAAGCCAACTGCACTAAAAAAAGGGAAAAAAACAAAGAAATAGACATCATTCAGGATGGTGCCATATTAGTTTCAGGCAAAAATATCGTAGACAATACTACTTTGTTAGGATCGTATCTCCTTATATTCAACAACACAATTGTAATAAATAATATAACCCACATAAATGATAAGGGTAAAATTCTAAAATATATATCGCATCATAGATATAGCGATTTTGAATTAGTCGATTATATACAATCGAATGATAAGCAATTTTCTTTTGATAATGTTAATATTTTAAATCCCCTTATAACATTAGGTAATACGGCCTTACCATTAACAACATTATTTTTAATCATTTTGATATTGTTAATGTTATTTTACTTCGGCTATAAATTAACCAAATTTGTACTTATTAAATCAATAAGAATACCGTCAGAAGAAATAGTGGAAAGCAACATTCAAATACTGTCAGAAGAAATTAGAGCTCTATCAGAACTTCAAAATGTATCGGGACGAAACATTTAAGAATGGGGGGAGTTAACGTACCCAATTCCATTGAGCTCTTATACGAGTTGTAAACAATCTTTGGCTTTCCAAAACGAAAACAATTTCAATCTTGGGCCTCCGCCTAATTGATTTCTAAGATGTACAATCTCAAGCGCCCCCGCCGCAATCCCAATCTTTGACACTCGCCTAAATGGAAAACCAATGTTTGCCCACACCCGGCTTCTCATAAACAATCTCACTCCCGGCTTTCTGCAGATCCTGCACTTTAGGCCTTTTACAGTTCTCTCTTTGGATGACGAAATCTAATACTCGGGATGGCGAAATCAATTGAAATGTTTATAGAAAAACGATTCCCGAAAGGGATCAACGATGCAAAGATCAGAAAGTTCAAATCAGTCTTGATCCAGCAGCGACACCGCAAAGTCTAGCTAAATATTAAGATCGCGCAATCCCTTGGCCCGGAATTCCTTTGTGACCCTCTACTTAAATCTATATCAGTGAAGTTCGAAGTAAAATAAAAACTTTTTAAAAACACAATCCGCTACCGCTATTGTTTAATTTGCACACAAATAAAAAGGCAAAAAACGAACTTCAAAAGAAATTTGAAAGAAGACAATTGGGAAAATCCTTGCTGAGAGATAGATAAGGCGTCACTCCAGCTCTATAGAAAGATACCCTACAAAAAATATTGAGTGTTGTCCATTAAAAAGGGAGAAGAGAGAGAAGAAAGCCTGCAACAGATTGATATACATACATACATATGTAAACAGATAGATAAAGAGATGAGTAGATCATTTAGATTACCTTTTCGATCAAAAAAATATGTGCTTAGGTATTTTAATTGGTTTAAAATGCAGAAACCTTTTCATGTGTCTGCTTTTTCAAAATAACGTTTACCACACGGTAAAAATAACATTTTCGAACCCTTTTCAAACTCCCACCAGAAACTGCATAGATTAATGTCTGTTCAAGGCTCTGCAGTTTCTAGCTTTCCACCACAAGTCCCACTTTTTCCCTCCCTTTTCGTTCTCAAAGAGGCGCCACAAACATCTTTATTCCACTTATTTATTTTTTTCCGTACTAATTTGAACGAGAGCAGGCTCACCTCAACAATTCCAACAAGAATTCGTTTCTAAACATTTTTGCAAACTTTGCGACAAAACTATCAAAGCCGTTGTTGCCCTCAAAAGAGCCCTTCAAAACTGCCACTGTCGCTGGTCAGAGGGGGTGGCATGGTGGCTAGGCAGTAAAGCATTGACAACGAAAGAGGAAATCCGCTGGCAGCCAACGACAGCCGCGTAACGGAGGAGCTTTGTGCCGCTTCGTGCTCAGAACAACGCCATTGGTAGCACCATCTCCGGGACCTGCAGGGCCCTGGTCTCAATCCCGAACAAAGCCGCGCAAAAAGAAAGCTAAAAAATTCATTGGCATTTGCCGCAGTTGAATGCAAAATGATGCGCTTTTGTTGGCCAGCTGGAAAAAGCGACTATGAAGGATGGCGGCGGCGGAGAAGGGATAGCGAATATCCCACGCCATGCAAATAACAAACGTCAAAAAGAATTTATTTTTTTGTTGCAGTCGCCACACAGCAGTCTAAAAACCGTCGTTTTTCCACTCCGTCGCAGTCATTTCCGCCCGCCTGCGGCATCCGTGGCGTTGGCAGCTTCTGTCGGGCAAGAGACGCGAGCGGCGTTAATTCATTGCCAAAGCTAAAATTTCCATGCATATGCAATTTCAGGGAACCAGAGGAGGGTCAGCCGGAGCTTTATGATAACGAATATGCAGCAGCTGCTGGTGCTACCTCTGATGCTGCTCCTGATGCCAATGCCGACATTGAGGGCGAGGAAGACTATGCGGTGGCGGCCGAGGATGCGGATGAGCTGAGTGAACAGCTGCCCTACGGCATTCAGAATGTGCGCAAGCGTCGCGTTCGTAGCGTTATGCCTCCCGCTCAACAGCTGCTGGCTCCTAGCCCTAACAGTGACGAGGTGAGCGCCATAATGCCCTCCAGCTGTGTGCTGCTATAATCCGCATGACTATCTCTTCCGCAGGTAACCTATCAGTCGCTGTGCCCCACCAATCGAGTCACCGTCAAGCTGGACAGCGGGGACTACCGCCCTAATCATTATGTAGAGGTCACCTGTGCCCATAACTACGCCCCGCAGCCGCCGCGGGTTCACAACTATGACTACGTCTACAGGGGTAACGAACTGCTGCGGGCCCTGCTCGCGGAGCGGGGAGAGAAGCGCGAGGTGGGTCAAAATCTAAGGTTACACAAATAAACAGCTCCTGAATGTCCCGAATCCATTGCAGATCTGCTCGGCGATAGGCTTCGCCTGCATCCAGCTCAACCGCACCATCCATCTGATCCGGCTGAACGATGCCTCCGGCTGCTGGGAATCCGAAACGCGAACGGTGCCATCCGGCTGTGAGTGTATGTGGCCCAAGCACAGCTACGGAGATATCGGCTTCTACCACCAGACACAGAAGCGGCACGGGGGCGTACGAGGACGTGTCGCCCCCACCATTGACTACAGGCCAGGAGTGGGCTATCGCCAGCTGACAGTGCGAGCCCGGAGTCCCAAAGCCGGGCAGCGCAGTCGACGCGATGACTTGGGCTACGAGAGCTACGAGATGAATTAGTGGCACAGCGAGAGGCAATACCTGTGCAGGGAGCAGGGAGCAGTGAGTGGAGGATATGCCAAGCACACTCAGAGTGTGCCCAACTGGATTTGTGGCGGCAGATTAGTAACTAAGTTGGATCCGCATAAATTATTTTCGCTTTAGTTTAGCCGTAACGGGAAGGTCCCTTAGTTAGTTCAGATAATTGTAATGAAATATTAATAAACAACTACAATGGAGCAACAACAGAGCGAGCTAATCCTTGGAGAGGCTTTGCGTGCACACAAATCAAGGGGATTATGGAAATAAAATTACGCTTGGCATGCGGACTTACAATTAATCCAATCGCAGCGCCGCTTCACCGTCCTTAATCCGGTCTATATGCAATTCTTTATATGCCTTCGTTCCACACCTAACGTCGCCTGTCCACGACCATCGATTCGGGCGATTTATAGCACGGGTCTCATCGTAAATTAAAAATTAAGCGCCGACAAACAAAGCAATTCCGGATATTTACATTTATATCAAATCCGTTTTCAAGGCATAAATCAATGTACAATAAATCCCCTCGTTGAAGAGGTATAATCCGAGTATGCCACGCATTGCCCTGGGCACAGCCCTGAGCTATGTGCTATGCTAACTTGTTCAACGGCTGCCCGTCCACCTGCTGCTGCAGTTTCTCTGCAATTCCAGAAATCTGTGTGTGTATCTCTGCCACGGACTGGTTGGCATCTATTTGGTGCCAGTAGCTGGACTCCTGTTCGCAAATTCGATTGAACACCTCGGCCACTTTTTGCTGGAACTCTAGTTTCTCATAACTGCAATGAAATCGAAAAAGGTTTATGCAAGTGCAACTCATACAAGATAAAAAGATAAGGTAAGAACCTACCGCTCTTCTCCGTATTTACCGCGACTCAAAAGGTTATCTGAAGCTGTTTTCAGGTAAAAAACTGCGTCGGGCTTGATGAGTCCCCGTTCCGGGGCATAGCACCAGTCAAAATCCAATCCCTTGGCTGCGGTATAGGCCACGCCAGAGTAGGAATATCGATCCACAATCAACGTTGTGCCGGCCAAAAGCTCCTTGCGGATTTTGTTCATGTACTCCCAGCGGTTCGCCGAGAACATCAAATGTATCACCTCGTCGGGCAGATCGTTGCTGTTGGTCAGGTACGAGTTTATCACCTGGCCAGTACTGGATTCCCGCTCCGGAAAGTTCATGGACAGCGTTGGAATGCCCTTCGACTTGAGAAACTCAGCTGCAATCGAAAAGTTGTTGTGTGAAGCGGAAGCCACTTTCGCGAAAAGTACAACTTACCCAGGAGTCTGCTCTGTGTCGTCTTGCCGCAGCGGTCGCAGCCTTCGAAAACGAAAAGGGCTCCACGTTTACCGACGCTCATTTTGTTAGTTGTAGTGAAATCGTTCTATATTTTATTGCAATATTGAAATTTTCCAGGGCTGCACAGTCGTATGAACGTATTTTGGCGCCAAATTTTTAGAGCTATTTTGCAACGATTTTTTTTCGAAATTTATCCCGAAAATTGTGAAATTACCTCACGTCATGTCATGTCATGTAAATTAATTAAAAGCGCTGTTTTAATTGTTTGTTATAAAATTTTTGAATAATATCAGTGCTGCCAACTTTTCAACAGGAAAAATGATATTTTTAAGCTATCAAAGGCAAGATTAATTTTCTTATTAGAGTGATATTTAGTTTTTAATTAACTCATGTACCAAGTAAAAATCGCGCACCTCGTAGTCAAGCCAGCACTTCCCTAAAAAAAAGCCAGATCTTTAGGGAAAAAGCGAACTCTGCAGCCCTGTATAAAATGTTTCTTTTCAGCATTCACCTGGTATTTTAAAGTAAAGACACCGACGGTCACACTGCAGGGCATAGAAAATACGCGTTTTATTTGTGGTATTTTTTCCGGTATCTAAGAAAATTGCAAGGTGTGTGGCCTAGAGAGGGTCGCAAAATCAAACGAACTATCAGAACGACTTAGTTTGGTCACACTGTAGGGCAGATAAATTACATTTTGTTATTTAAATTGTTATGGAAAATACGCGTAAAACACAAAAAAATCAATGCGGCTTGTGTTAAAGTAAGACACATCTCTCGCCGTACTGCCACTGCAATGTGTTGAAAGCAAAAAGCGGTCGGAAATCCGATTTTGCCAGTCTTGGATGTCCGTCCACGACCCAAAACAAGAAAAATTCGCAAACCGCCACAACGAAGTTGCGATGCGCTGCAATTGAGAATTGAGGTATTCATACAGCATATCATATCACCAGCAAAGCCACTAACTGTGCCGTCGCATCCACTCATTGTGCTAACCGACAAACCCATACGACATAGAACTGGAAAATGGCTTTTCTGTGCCGAAACCAATTGAGAACATTCATCTGTTACAAACACCGCGTGTTTTTTGCGTAGCGTGCAAAACAACGCTGTCATCTGTCGATAACTTTATCGGCTGCCTTGTTTGTGCCCCTGTTATCGCGCAAGGACCACGAGAGCGCCTGCCGCTCGCTCGCCGAAAACCTTTCGCCAGTGGGTGGGTGGTGTGAAAAAAGTGCGTGCGGAATTGTTTATAGGCTAAGAAAAAGGGCATTAGCAGCGCCCTGCACTAGCTACATATAATCGGCTAATTTGGCTCGAGTTGAACACCTACGGCTCGCCTGGCGGCTGCATACACAATGTGGCAGGACATGCCGTGCCGTATGCTTATGTAGAAGGCTGTGCTTCCCCCTTTCATCGCGAAAGCTATCAGCTATCAGGCACATTCCGACCCGAATGCTGGGACTGACTGCTAGATAGGTACAGGTACTGCCCATGATCTCAGGTCTTCCCTCCCGCGACACAAGTTAGCCCAACGGACGACTTCGGTGATAGAGAGCAATAGGGCAATGGCAAACAACAACCACCCGCACGGCCACCTCAGCCAGGCAGCCCAGAACCCATCCTGGAACCCGTTGCAAGTAAGTAGCCACTCGGCCATCTGGAAGTCGCACCTTGCTGACTGAAAAAATCTCAATCTCCAGATACCATCGTACATTCCACGGCAGCCGCAGCTGGCGCACATGTCGAACGAACGGCCCATGGTGCGCTCGCCCCTGGCCTGGCATGCCTCCGTGTCCGCCCAGCCACCGCCGCCGCCAGATGCCCTTTACAATTTTATGTCGGCCAATCATAAAAACGTAATTAGGAAACCGAAAGCAGAATCAGCAAACTAGACGCATGCTCAAATCTCCCGCCTAGCCAGTAGAATAGTTTCCTTCTTTAGCAGTTTATCTGCTGTAATCATTATTTGCTTTCTTGTTGTGTGTTTGTCGCCTGCTGCCACCCTGCATTGTATATCTTGTGATTGTCCCTGCTAAATGTCGCGATAGTATTTGCAGCAATGTCCTAACACAGTCTCACTCTCCGCAGCTGGATCACCATCATCAAATGAATCCTTTGTTGGCGCCGCCATACTCTGGAACCTTGCCATTCGACTCCATGGACCTCTCCTTGCAGTCCGCACGCAGCGCGGCCCAGCCGCTGGCCAAGCAGCCCCAGCAATCCCAACAGCAGCCGCAGCAGCAGCAGCAATCGCTCATGCATGCCCCCAACTATCCAACGATGTAAGAGCCGTGTCCATTCTTCATAGCCCCAAGCCGAGCTAATCCCCATATGTTTCCGTTTCAAGCAGCCAAAACCTAGCGACAAATGCAGCGCCAACCAGCGCACAGCTGCAACAACAGCAAGGCCACCTGGCAGCCATGGCGGCGGCTCATGCAATGCTGCAGTCGGGCAACCAGAATGCAGCATCTTCCTTGGTCCTCTCCAATGGCAGCGACTGTGAATCGCTGTTACCGCGGCCGCCACCCACGGCTAACCTTCCACCCGGAAGCAGCAGCAACCATACCGGCAGTAACAACAACATCCCCAGCCCGCAATACCTGCAGAATCGCGACGAGAACTTTAAACTGTCTCAGCTGAAGCGTAGCTTCGAGCAGGAGGTGCTATCTTCGAAGAACTTGCAGAAGGACAAGCTGTCCCCGCACAATCTCCAGCATCAGCAACAGCATGCGAATAAAAAGCGTGAGTTCACTTTTGTCTTTATTCGAACGTCATCTAATCATTTTCTAATCCTGAACAGCCTCACCCTTGCGCAACTATCATCAGCAACAGCAGCAGCAGCAGCCTCCGTATAACTTAACCCCAAAATACAATGGTCCCCAAACGCCGCCAACTCCGCAGTCGCCATTGGCCGGACCTCCGCACCAGATGCACTCTCCCACAATGGACTACAATCAGCTACATCTGCACCACCAGCTGAATAGTGGAGTAGGAGGCAGCCACGGTGGAGGCGGCTACCAACACATGCAGCAGGACCAGCCCCAGCCGCAACACTTGCACTATCATAATCAGCATGTGGGCAATCAGCCTGTTTCGGCCGCTTCACCCCTCCATCCGCCTCCGCCCCATTTAGTTAGCTCTCAGTTCCACGCACAACAACAGAGTACAGGCCAGCAGCAGCAGCAAGCACCATCAACGCCCCAACAGACGACACATCATTCCCGCAGCTCGCAACTGACGAATCTCGAGTCGATGGCCAAGCAGAAGACGCAGCCGGAGACGGAGAATCAGACTGTAATCACGGATCTATCCTATCGAAATGCGACGCCTTCATTGCCACCCGCTCCGGCGGTAGAGGTGGAGAAACCACCAGTAACAGATGCCCCCGAATCACCCTACCTGACCACCTCCAACGAGGAGTCGCTGGAGTCGAATAGCAACAGCAGTAACAGCCGCAAACGTCGCAAGCGGAAATCCAGCCTTGTCATGCGGGTTACGCCCAATGAGAATGCAACCGAGGGAGGAGGAGGCGCCAGTGCCAGCTCCACCACCATGCACCAGCAGCCAGGAAACACACCCAGCATAAACAGTAACATCTGCAGTCCAAAGCATTCGCCAAAAATCGCGGGCTCCGACTTCCAACCCTTTGGCATGCAGTCCGAGTCGCAGAATGACAAGACGCCGCAGGAGAACGGACGGGGATCCTCGCCATCGCCAACGGAGAACAGCAACAGTTCCACGCTCTACAACGACGAAAATCCCAAGACGAAGAAGCAGCGGCAGGCCCTGCTCCAAAGAAATCTGACCGAGCAGCAGCGTATACACCACGAGGATGAACCCGATAAGCCAGTGAAGCACACTCCCCCGACCATGCCACCCCCGAGTCCGCAAAGCAATAGCAGCAGCAGCAGTTCGAGCAGCTCCAGCGGCAACACGCACAGCAGCCATAGTAGTCATGCTACTGGCAACGATACCCGGCTGCCGGAGAAGCCGGAGAACGATGAAACCAATGCCACTACGGACACGCCCGCGTCGCCGGCTCTCGTGGAGCAGGGAAACATTGATGCTAGGCCGGCGGTGAGTGTGCACGAGTGCGATGAAGAGGAGGAGCCAGTAGGCGGTGGCGGTACCACCAAGGAGCCAGAATCACCACCTCAACCAGCACCGGCGCCTTCCTTACCCCAGGTGCCAGAAACAGCCGGAACAGCAGCACCTCCAGCTCAAGAAACACCACCTGCGGTCAACTCTGAACACTCTACGTTTGGAGAGGTAGAGGATAAGCTGGAGGAGATGTTTGCTGGCATCGAGGAGGAGCCGGAACAGAATGGCCCACCGGAAAAGCCTGCCCAGCCAGCCGGAGACGCAGTAGCGCACGACTTGAGCGCTCAGCTGGCTCTGGACAGTGCCAAAGATGAGGATAAGCCTGCGGGAACGAGGACAGCATTGTCAGCTTCACCTGCAACAAATCTTTCAGTCCCCATGCCCGAGGTGCGACCCGTAGCCACCAAGGCAGCGAAGAAGTCGACCCTTCCCAGTCCTGTGCACAGCCCCACGCCAGAAACTCGCTCCACATCCACGCCTTTGACTGGCACCGAGGACATCAAGTCTCCTAGCATCCAAACCTCTTCGAATGACGCGAATTCGCGCCGGCTGCCTCCCCGAAGGCTCTCTATAGGCATGGATGCCTCCCTGCTGCGCTTCGTAATCGATGAGCACTCAGACAAGGCCAAGAAAGCCGTGGGGCGTGGCAGAAAGCGGGCAGCAGCCGAACCAGAGCTCGACAGCGAGGATGATGACAAGCCCAGTACCTCGGCGGCAGCAGCAGCGGCGTTGGCAGTGCGCCAGCAGAACGAGGTGGCTGCCGCCAAAGCAGCGATCGCCAAGCCCACAGCGAGTAAGAAAAAGAACGCGGGCGGTAAGGGCAAAAAAGGGGCAGCGGGGAAGAGTAAGGCCAAGCAGAATGGAAAGAAGTCGGCCGCCGGAGGTCGCAAGCCGCCGACCACCGACGAAGACAGCACTCCGGCGCCTACGAATGGAGGAGGAGGCGTTGATCTACGTTTCAAGTCGCCCTTCATACTGATCAAGCCGGACGGCAGTGTGAGCATCAAGAACACCCACAGCGCCGAGGACGTCAACGAGAAGCAGACCAAGGCCAAGAAGGCGCCCCACGAGAGAAAGAGTCTCCGCGGAATGCACAGCTCCACACTGAGTAACCGCTACGATGCGGACACCACCGACTCAACCTGGATCTGTGTGTTCTGCAAGCGAGGACCGCATAAGATGGGCCTGGGCGACCTTTTCGGACCCTATCTGGTGTCCATCGACTGCGAAGAGTACCGGGCGGCTCTGCAGGCGCCTGGAAGCCAGGACTTCGATGGAGTCTTCGTCAGCAAGCGCAGACGAGAGGACATGGTCCAGCACCGACGTAACCTGCCCGTAGTGCCTGCCACACTGGCACACATCATGCAGGCACCGAAGATCAGCATGGTAAGCTGGAATGCGTTATTCTAGCCATTCGAATTTCTTATCTTCAATCTCTTGCAGCACAAGCGGAAGCGCAAGCAGATCCACGACAGCATGTACGCCTACAGCGATGATCCGAACGAGTCGCTCTCGCAGTCCTCCCAGGATCCTCTCGACTGCTCAACTGAGAACAGGTTCGTGGAGACGTTTCGCGGCATGTGCAAGACCTCGGACCACGGTTACGAGGTCTGGCTGCATGAGGACTGCGCCGTCTGGACAAACGACATCCAGCTGATCGGCGCCCATGTAAACGGACTGGATGCCGCTGTGTGGGATAGCACGCGATACCAGTGCGCAGTCTGTTTCCAAACGGGGGCCAGTGTGTGCTGCTTCCAGCGGTGCTGCAAGGCTACTGCCCATGTGCCCTGTGCGCGCTCGACCAACTGGACTCTGGACGAGCAGGAACGTAAAGTATTCTGCCAGATGCATGGGCAGTTGGAGTCACAGACACACTTACAGCCGCCGGAAGTCTTCAAAGCTGAGCCTGTGGCAGCAGCTCCGCCAGCCGTTGCACCACCACCCAAGTTTGATGTCAGTTCGCTTCCCTGAGTACGAGTTCGCGTCCGGGACTGTCTCCTGATCGCCAAGCGTTAAGCGTTGAGCGCAGCCTCTTCCTCTGGCTCTCCCCGAAGCCGCTGCCCCTTGTCCACCGCACCCTATACTTAGGCTTTGTAAATAAGTTTCCCGGCCCGGGGGCGCTTCATAATAGCGTAAGAAGTGTTTTGTACAAACCCGCTGTACATTTTACAGGCTTTGACGCACAGCACAGGAGATATCACAGCGTCTCTATGCTCTAGTTAGATTCCTTTCACAAATCCTTAGTTGTCCATACTTAAATTATTCTTTCGATGTGCACAGACGCGCCCTAGCACTGTGCCCTTTACATTAGTACCTTTTAGTTTAAATTAATTTAATGCTCCTCCCACAGCATCACGTATGCCAATTGATAATTTGATTCAGTTGAGTGTCATGTACATCAACGAATACTCCCTGCCATACTCCATCCGACAGCCAACTGAATAGACCAGGACGAATCACAATAGCGCCGAAAATGCGAAAAGCCAATTGATACATATGTGTGCAATGTGCACAGCATTCACTGGAGTTGAGGTTGCAGCAATGTAGGGTATAAACAGAGAAGAGAGAACATTCGAAGCCCTTTTCAAAATGGAAAACAATTGTAAAACAATATAAGTATAAAGTATAAATAATAAATAATATTAATAATTATACTAATGGTAAGGTATTCGTATAAATAGGACCTTGTACGTATATTGATGATAATTTTAAATTCTAAACATATAAACAATAAAAACTTAATCTCACAAGCAACGCAAAATCATTTGAAATATATCGGGGCGAATATTCAGAATCAGAATAGTAACAAAAGGCTGTTTCTTGCCTGTAAATGTCTAAACAGCTTCCTCCTTTCGCCCACAATCATTGTTGTGTTTTCGTACTTTGATTTCGATTTCTTTGGATATAATAAACTACTCGTCTTTCTACCTCCTTACAGACTCGCTAATTAAATCGGGAGTATACCAACAACAGATACTCTCTCCAAGTTTAATAGTTGGTTTGTTTGGATCGAATTCCCACCGCTAGATTTTTGATTTTTCTTTTTATTTCTCAATAAATATGCAAAAATTATACAGCCGCATACGTATACGTACAGGATAGAATATGGGTCTGAACAAATGATCTCTAGATTAAATCGTTAACTTAACTTAGGCATAAATAGTTCATTAATTTAGCTATGCTATGAAGTAGTGCTAGTGGGGAATCTCCTTCAGTAGCGTCGGTGGCGTCCGCGCAGCTGCTGCGTTATGTCGTTGGGCAGCCGACCCACGCTGCTCTGGGGCACCTGGTAGGAGGTGCGTCCGGAGTAGAAGGACCGCTCCCTGCTCTTGCCCGATCCCGAGCTGGCTGTGTGCCTGCCGCCGGTGTCCGTCAGCTGCAGCTTATGGGCCGACACGTCACTGCGCTTCTGGGCAAGCTGCAGTCCCGGAATCAAGCCATTGGCCAGCGTAGGCAGCTGAACATTCAGGTGATCCACATGACGTCCACCGATGAAGGATCCCTGCACTGAGCCAGTGGCTGTCACAGGTGCCGGCGGGGCCAGGGGAGGGAACTGTGGCAGCTGCTGCTGTTGCTGTTGGTACGGCACGAAGATGTTGGGCGTCAGGTAGGGCTGCTGATTAGTCTGTATCGACGGACGAGCCTGCTGGTGGAACTGTTGCTGCTGCTGCTGCTGTTGCTGGAAGGGATTATGCTGCTGCTGTTGCTGCTGATACGAATGTGGCTGTTGCTGGTAGATGTTTGGCTGGTAAATGTTTTGCGAGGGCTGTTGGTACTGCTGCTGCGTTATGTAGTTTGATTGCTGCTGAGGCTGCTGCTGACGCTGTACCTGCTGTTGCACTTGCACATGATGATGTTGCACCTGCTGCAATTGCTGTTGCCCATAATGCTGCTGCTGTGCAGGCTGTCTCTGCACCTGTGCCTGTTGCTGCTGTTGCAGCGTTGTGGCGCCTGCAACACTGTTGGCGTTGCCCTGTCCGAACTTGCTGCTGAAGAAGTCGTTTAGCGAGACGTACGAGTTGCCCTGAGAGGCTTTGGGTGGCGCTTGGGTGGCCAGGGAGGCGATGATGTTGCTGGCGGAGTTCGGAGCAATCCGTTGTCCCTCAGCGCGGACAATCACAATTCCGGGTTGGGTGGGCAAGGCAGGCTGTGGCAGCTGCGACGGGCGTGGCGGTACTGTGAGACTGGATATGGCTGTGGAGCGGAAGAAGAGAGGGTATTAAACCGTGCCATACCCTCACCTTGAGGACTCCTCACCTGGTGCTGTGGGTGGCTTGCTGTAGCCAATGCTGTTTCTGCCGCTGCCGCTGCTACTCCTGCTGCCAATAGAGCTGGTCTTGGTCAGTGGACGGTGCTGCTGGAACTGGGCCGGACCCTTGGCCTGGACACTCTTGAAGTTCTGTAAGACGGATTCGTCAACAATGGCGCGCGTTAGCTTATCGAAGGAAAGGAAGCCAGAGGAGGGAGAAAGGCTCGAAGTGATGGATTGAGAGGAGGGAGGTGCAATGTCGCTGACTGTTTGTGTGGCGTATACGTGTGGGGTGTGTTTTTGGGTCTGCGGTGGGTTGAGTGGTGCCTGGCTGTAACCGTAGCCCGAGGCTATGGCGGAGATTTGCTGCGTCAGGGTGGACAGGGCAGGAGAGGAGGTGGTTCTGGGTGTGGTGTAGACTCGCGCGGTGGTTGGAGCCCGAGTTCGCGTGACTGGAGCCTGCGTCTTGAAGTTCGAATAGCGATTCTTTCCGCGATTCACCGATGCCGCTGCTGTGGGTCTGGGATAGCTGCTGGTCGTGGATGTGGCGCTGGTACTGGTGGTGCTGCTGCTGATGCTGCTGGAGGCTCGTGTTGCTGGCGTGTAGATGCGATTCCCGCGCTGCACTTGGAACCTCTGCAGATTGCTGTGGACACTCTCCCAGCTGGCCTTCCCGGTCTCGACCTTCGTTTCCCGATCAATGTGGCGCGCCGATAGCTTTTTGCTCGGCCCCTGCTCGGCCCCACCCCGCACATAGGACAGGGAGGAAGCTGTGGTAGTGGTTGCTTCTGTGGTGGCCGGCGCCTGGGTGGTCGGGGCCTTGGTTGTACTCCTCGTGGCCAACGACAGACGGGACAGACGCAAGCGGCTTGCTGCCAGACGTTCCAGGTAGCTGCGGGTGGGCATATTGGTGGTTCGTTGTGTCGTTGTGCTGGTCGTGCTGCGCACCACCGGCAGCGGACGAACGTTGGCGCGTCTCAAAGTGGAATTACCGCGATTCTGGGCGTAGCGCCGGTAGCCGCGAATCCGCTCCTGGGTGCTGCTGATCTCTGTGACCGTTTCCGTGGAGGTGATCATTACGGGAGTGGTGCTGGTTGAGGTACTAGTTGTGGAGGGGCTGCTCTCTGCCAACTCAATTGTGTTGAGGACCTGCGTCTTCTCGTCGTGGGACGTCAGTTGCACACCAGCCAGCAGCAGCTTGGCGGCCTCCTGATGGACGCTCGACTTCTCGGCGGCCTCGGGACTTTCCTCGACCTGGACCAGGTCATCACTGAGGGGCGGGCTGGCGGTCAGGGCGGCTGCCTGGCCCAGGGATTCGATGGCGAGTGCAGGAGTCAGGATTGGGGGTTCCAGCAGGAAGGGTGGCACAGCAACAGTGCTTGAAGCGGTTTCTGCTGCCAATGTGGTGGTCTCAGCTTGCTCCACTTCTTCTGCCTCCTCCGCTGTGGGCAGGGTGGGGGCTATAAGCAGAGCTGGACTCTCTTCCGTTGTCGATGGGGTGGTGCTGGCGATTTTGGCAAACTTGTGCTTGTGCTCAGTGGATTTGAGATCTTCGGTGGGTATCTCATTGGGCTTTGGAGTGTAATTTGTGTGGTTTGTGTGGTTTGAGGTATACATATGTGGGTGAGGCATTGTTGAAGGCGATAGTTGATAGAGTAGCGAAATTTATATAGATAGAGATAGATAGAGAGATAGAAATGAATTAAGGAGATAGAAGAAATAGAGGAGGAGATTGCCAGATAGTTTCCGGGATTTAAGTGGATGATCCGTCTGCAACTCACCGTAAATCTCACTGTGCCCGGCGTCTGTTTGGGTTTGTTGTAAACGTATGCCGAGGAGCTACCCTTGGAGCCATCTCCGTGCATGGCGAATCCGCGACTGAGGAACCGGAAGGGCTGCTTGATCTTGTGCGGAGCCATTGACTGGTAGCCGGAAACGGAGGGATCTGCATCGGAGGAGACCTCGTCCAGGAGGTTATTGATGTTGGAGACCAGATCCACTTGTGTGGCCTCGTCCTTGTTGCTCCGTATGTGCTTCATGTAGTCAGGGGCAAGGACCTCGCTCGAGGTCGACTCTGTGTCGGCCAAGACCTCCAGTCCCGCATTAACCCGCTCCGCAAAGTTCTTTTGCTTCTGGTAGTGATACTCACGCGGGTACTCGGCCACGATGTGGGCATTGGTGTGGTCGAACTGGATGCCCGGATCCGAGGAGAGCTCCCCCAGGCTGTTCACATAGATGCCCTCGCCGTCATCGTCAGAAGAGACGGAGGTAGAGATGGTCTCTAGCCTTGCTGCATTAAGAGGCTCACTTTTAATGTCCTCGCCCCGTCCTGCAGCAATTTGTGGTTCTTCGGCCTCCGCCGGATAGGTGAGTACTCCACTGACGCTGCTCAGATCCTTGCTCAGGCTCTGGTGCTGGTGATGGTGCTGCTGCTGTTGCGGAGAACTCTGCGAATGTGTCTGGGCCTGTTGCAGGGCCTTCGTTATGGTCTTCATGGGGTACTCCATCATGTGGCGGACGCGCTCCATCATTTCGTGGGTACTTCCCACGGTATTCGCCGCGTTCATGTCATAGTACCGCTCCGAGTCGTCGCAGTTCACGTTACGGTACCAGTCGCACACGAAGTTCTTCTGGCTGAAGAGGGTTCCGTTGGGACAGAGGAAGCCGAAGCCCTGGGGGGATCTCGCTGTGTGGGCGCAGATGCGGAACGCCTGGCAGCGACTCTCCACGTCAGCATAGTAGCCTGTGAAGGAATCAGATTAGATCCCATTAGATCGGTGGTGTAGAGAGAGGCCTGGAGATGCCACTCACCTTCATGGCGGCCCTTGCACACGAAGCTCGTCTTGGGCGGGGCACTGAGGATGGGGTAGTCCAGACCGGGCTCGCCGGGTATCGTGTGCCGCAGATCGAACTGCTGGTCCGTGTACTCGCTGGACTTGTCGGCGTCCTCGAAGTGCTCCCCGCTGCTGTGGGTCTGGCCTTGGCCCTGGCCCTGGGCCGCGGCCAGCAGCAAGAGGAGCAGCCCCATCCACAGACAGGAGCTCTGCATGCTGAAAGTGGAGCTCGGATTAGCTGGCGCTTGCAACACCTTAAACGTTATTCATTAGGCTGATTGATAAACCATGAATCGGGGCAAACTCATTGATTAAAATGTTTGTCAAATTTGCATACGAATGAGAGCGGGGCAATGGGGAATGGAGCCACGTAAGTGACCGACCACCACGAGCCGACTGATTAGCATACGGATTGGGTAGAGGCGTGTCCGCTCTTTCACGTAACCAAAACGAGCGAATCGAGACCCAAACAAATGCCTTTTCCAGCCGGGGAGCGACTTTTGTGTGGCACTGTTGCGTGGGTCCATCAACGGTTCGAATTCGGAATCAAATGACAGTTAAGCCCGATAAATAAAACAATAAAAGGAAGCGAGACCTGACCCTGAAATAGCTGCCGAGATTTCCGTTCGATCTAGATGTTGTGCCTCTCGAAATATTTTGAATATTTATGATCGATTTCGAATCACTTTCGATCTTAGTGCTCTGCCACTCAAGATAATTATGAATACCCATTCGAGATCGATTTTGAGTCAGTTTTGGTGCGAGTGTTGGTCATTTCACTGGTAATCATCAATCACCTGGATGAGCAAACATTATTAATCACACTCGGGCCGCATTAGAATGTGACTAATTTCGAATTACCAAACGCTAATCAAATCTGAGCACCAAAAATATTCGAATCGCTTCCAGTTAAGCACTTGAGCAATCAATTCTCGATGGGTTTGCAGCGGGACGCTTGGCATCGGTTGGACAGCCGCTGAGGTCACTTGATGTCATTATTTTTTTCCCAATGAAATGTGCTGACAGCAGATACACATACAGATACATACAATTGCCACTGAATTAATAGCAGGCAGTACTATTATTTTGACCATTGCTGTTCACGCAAATTGAAGCCTGCTCAAACGAAAGACTTAGGCAACGAACTTGCCAAACGAGCACTTGGTCTTCAGTTCACCTTCTTCAGTTGTGTTTACCCTGAAATATTACCCTTAATTATTTCCATGCATTGTTGTGTAAGGAAGCAACAAAGCACTTGACCAGCCATCATCCATCCAAACACTCAATGATTGATTTCGCTATGCTACATAAATAGTGCAGAAGCAGATCGAAGGCAATCAAAGCCAGCGAAAACCAGAGAAAAACTCTTCAGGTTTTAGAGAGCGGACCAAAGTTGGAGCTTTGTTCGGCTGACAAACAAATCGGCACTTAATTGTCTACCAATTTGAAATGATAACTCAATCAAACGATTGCGCTTACATAAGATGGATGATGTAACAATTAGAAAACCAACAATAATTATAGCTTTGATAATTGCAGTGCTCGGTGGACAGTCCAACGACCTTCCCGCGAGTCAACAAACTGTAAGCTCTCCAGTTCTATATACGATTTCATAATGACTATCTAAGCGACATCTAATTGAATTTTAATGATCCACAGACAGAAGCCAGAAGAAGCGCTGGAAGAAGTGCCTGTGCTCCACTCGCGTACTCCTCAATATGCAAATATCGACTGCAGCTGGGGAAGGGCCAGGGATAGGGACTTGGCCAAGTGCTACACTCATCTTTGGACAGCCTAGAGCTTCCACTTCCACTTTCAAGTTACAAAAACCATTTACAATTCGACAGCTTCAGGGTCATTATCAAGAGCAACGCAAAACTGAAAATCGAAACCGAAAACTGAACACCAAAAAAAAACAGACAACCACCGACAACGAGGAAGCATCACAAGAAAATGTTTTACTTCTCATTGTTTTCAATGATCCATCACAGAAAAAATTAAAATGCCAGACAAATGATGATTATAAGATGATGGGACCCGACCCCGAACAAGAAGCCACACTTCGGAGTGGGGAGGGAAACTTTCAGATAACAGACTTTGCATTGAAAATCAAAACCCAAAACCCACAAAAAAGAGAATGGATGAACCCATCAAAGGCATTTTCAATGAGATGGAATACATATTTTCGCTGTAATTCAAATGCGTGGATCATTATATATTTTATTATGATCTCCGACTGAGTTTGCCTTTGCTGCAAATTAATTGGCAGCACGTTTTGTTGGGCCGAACCATAAATCTTCGCCAGGTATCACGAGAACGGGTTACCCCTAGTCGGGTATTTAATTATAGCAAATCGCTGACTATTTGGCGCCGACAAGCCCCTGACTCTCGAGTGTCATCCAGCTGAATTGATGGCTGGGATGTGGATGGGTAGAAGGATCTGCTGGTCACCGCCGATTGCCTGCCACTCACTCATCTGAAGTGCCCGCATCTATGGAATTCGGCCTGAGTCTGGGTTCTACTTATGGTCAGATGACGTAAACCGAGTGCGTAACACGAGCTGAGAGTGAGGCACTTCAACGAGCGCCCAGCGTTCTGGGGAGATCCGTGAACTCTCATTCTGTATCCGCTTAGATATTCCGATTGGAGAGCTTTGGTGTTTGTTTTGTAAACATATCATTTGCAAATTTACGATCATTATTCCAACATCAAAGCGCCTCAAGGTGTTTAAACGGTTTTGGGGAAATGTTCTTGAGAGGGGCTGTTTTGAGAATTTTTTGATTTTTTGATTGAGAATTACCTCGAGAGTTGTAAGCCTCTTAGTTTTCAGTATTGTAATTCCATTTCTGTAACTTTGTTAACGACTCTCCATCTCGATTATAGGCTCTGTATCTTTACTAACCTATTCCAGACTACATCCTGCATTACTCATCCCAAAACCCATAATTAATTATCAAAATTATTCATATTTTCTTTGCATTATTTCAGCGGTCAAATCTTCAAATAAGTAGCTCCATAAAAAGCTGTATTTTCGCTCCCCGACCTATCACTAGATCTACACAATACATATCTTCTAAGTAGCTCCCACTTAAGCGAACTGCATCATCTGCTCGTATGATCGTGGGGGTGTCTGATATTTGTCATTTTCAGCATTTTCGCCGTTCGTTAGATGATTATTCGGGGTACTCTCCGTGGAGTCACATTTTTACCTTATTTATTTCCGAGTCAACGATTCCAAATGGACAAACTTGTATTTGTTTTTCTTAATTTGGCACAACCGTCGTATGGGTTATTTTCTTTTAATTAATATCCTATGGATGTAGGCACAGAAATACTTTCAGTATATAACTTCACAAAACACAGAACTGAAGTTAGGCTAAAGCATTATCCTGTAGGTCGGTTGCGATTATATCCTTTATTCGAACTGGGGCTTAAGGAGCCGGCTACTGAGCGGAGCGGAGCCAGGTTAAACTGAACCGTTCGAGGCGCGATCTTGAACTGAACCTAAACATTCAATGTTAATCGAAATATTTTGGCCGCAAAAGAGTTTGAAGAGCGGCAGCGCCAGACCAAGACCCAGACCCAGACATAAGACCCAGACATTCAGACTCGGCCAGCCAGATAGCCCGAAATATACGCTGAAGAAGATACGTATACAACAACAGAGACCCGATCGATTGCGTATGATGTTGCTGCGGTCCCACCGGGAAACCGGTGACAACCTGCTGCTGCCGAGGTTTATGTTGATGATGATGATGGTGCTGCCTGCCTACATAACAGTAACAGTTGGAGTTCATAAAAATACTGAAAAACAACAAAAGAAAGGCCCACGACCACTGTCAACTGTCTTCCTTAAGGGCGTGTGTGTGAATGGGAATTAAATCACAGTGAAAACTCCATAAAAACTAAAGGGTCCTTCCTATTGCCAGCACAAATACGGATGAAAGGAATCTTCTACCACTGTTGATTTTCGGTAGGTCTGAAAGAAATCCATTTCAAAAACAAACCGTCGGCCTTTAGATTGTTTTCACTGTACCGAAGAAGAATTGGCTTTCGTTTTCATTTGGGGCTCTGGTTCGGCTTCGGTTTCGGGTTTCACACGGCTAAAGTGGCAGAAAAATGCGGCAGATCGGGTTCAAAAGCTCCCCAGATTCCTTGCATATGTATTTTCCCATAATTTATTGAGTAATCTTGACCGAGGCTAAGAAAGTGGGCGAATAGAACGAGTAGGAGGGGTCTGGGACTTCCGCATATGAACCTAAGACCGAGTTTGAGTATCGTGTGACCCAAATCTGAAATTTTAATTAAACAAAAGCTCGATCAATTAACATGAAGCGCTGCTAAGCAGCTGCACTTGAAGCGCTTGGCTTTTTGGCCAAATGATTGATGGATGGAGCAGCGTTGGTGGTGTCATGTGAGCTTGGATCATTGGATCTTTGGATCCAGCGATTTGCAGATCCACGCATATCAAACGCGATGCTGTGCCTTCTACAAATTGGATTTTGAGCGCCATCCAACAAGCGGACGGACAAGCTGAAAAATTGTTCGCTGTGGCATCTGCCCCTGATCCGCTTTGGTTTTAATTCTTTGTTTTTTTTTTTTTGCGCTAAACGTGTCGTACATCTGGCCAAATATTTGCCATGGCTGTGACTCGACCGTGTTTATAAGCCCAGCCGATTCGGGCCTGGCCAGCAACTGTGGCAACAACGGAATGGGGTCGGCCAGCTTTCAGTGCCACTGCCACCAGCCTATAAAAGTGCAACGCGAACGATTGCATCACCAGTTGATTGCGAGCAGAAAAATGATTCCCTGGACACTTGTTGCACTTGCGGCGGCTCTCAGCGCTGCCGTGCTGTTGCCCCAACCCTCCTGGGCCAGTCCCCTCGGTGGCGACGACGACACCGTGGACAGACCCAACATCGACTACCCGGCCCTCTTCAAGGCGTTCCTCGACATGGGTAATGCCATCTTCGGTACCTGGGCCCCCGTGGGCTTCCGGGAGGAGTTGGACGGGCAGCGGGCCTCGTTTTATGGATAGGCGGCTCCTATATCTCACTTTCTTTCTATAAAGATATTGCATAACTGTCGCATGCTGCAGCAATAAATATACCCACAAACCAAAAGAAAGAAAGGTGTGGGGGATAGAAACAACTTTTTAATTATGCACGCTTCCCTTATGGCCATATCACCCATCATTACCACCACGTTAGATGTC